AAATTTTGCAAGTTATTAGGGTTTGTAATATGGCATGTTCAGAGAAAGTTTTCAATATTGTTCCTAATTTCTATGAGGAATTAGAAATTATTATTCTTTCTAATTGACAACTATTTTCCAATTGGTTTAGGGTATCGTCAACGAACGTACATAACTCGACAATTACCAGGTCAATTCAGGCCAACTTTTTTTCAGCTATCCATTAAAACCTCGGGCTTGCAACCATAATTTTTGTTTTTAAATATATTGGGCAGTTGTTGAGATAATTGTGACTTTTCAGAGGAATAGCGTTATACATTTGAATTTTGAAATAGTTGAGGGTCCACTTGCGTCACGTCATTTTGGCAATTGTAAAACGAAAAGCTTTTCCAAATTGAAAGGGTCGGATCGAACAACTGGCAAAGGAATCGAATAACAGAGTTTAAGATTTTTTTCAATCTATACAAAGTTTCTCCATAGATCCTAAAAATTGCCAATCATACCAAATTTCGTTGGTTCGAATGCAATTTCGTGTGCATGTATGCTTATGAGGAAAAAAAATACTTATGGAACGCCAGCGTAGAATGCATTAACGGGAAACAGTTGTAGCTTTTAGAGTCAAGAGGATAGCATGTAAATTTGAGGCATTTAACTTTTTGATTATAAAGGAAGCAACTACAATTGAAGTTAATCTGCTGGCGTTTAATTTTCAATTACCTCAGTAATGAGTGTTGATCTCAAGTCTTTTGTCGGCAATTACAATCGATCACTGACCTTAACGACTATGCTAGGCTTTACCTCGTGACATAATTCTAAACGGTATTCACCTTTGAGTTTATATTCCCTTCTGATGACACTATCAAAACTATGTAAAAATTAGGAAGGAATACATGTCATCATTTAATGCAACGCTCTTAATTAATCGAAAGACGTGAACATTCTTATTTCGCTTTCAGAGCAGTCATCAACGTATTTGCAATAAAAGCGCTTTTTTTATGCTTTACAGACCTTTATCGCAAAATTTATTCGAGATTAAGACAGTCATTAGACTAGAATCTATTAAGCAGCTCCAGAGGTCCATCTTGTCGTTTTTAATAAAGGGACCCACAAAATCAAGTAGATTTGCTATTATTTCCGCCTCATACAATGAAGAAATTTACCATAGCCAATTGTATTAGTAAAAGGTATTGGCTCTTAACGTTCGATGTCGCCGCATTCTAGTAGTTACGCCGTATTTTCCATTAGTGGCATATGTTGTATAATTACGCACGCGTATCAATTCGACAGTTCGTAGTCGTATGGTTCATAAATGCTAATTTTTGAATATCGATCAAGCATTTAATAAGTCTAGAAAACTCAATAGATTGTTGGTAGTTGAATCAATGATAGAGTACATATTAAATACACTGGCGGTAACGGAAGACTCCGGATAGTCACTAATCGGTTTTGTTAATTTAAAAGGCGTCAGCCCTTTATTTGGGTACAATTATCAAGATCAACCAAATTGAGCGAACGAGTTGGCGAATAAAAAAAATAAAAATGTTTCCTGTACATGATCATAAATGTATTTCTGTGATGGAAACGGTATAGAAACCTTTGATCCTTCATTTTACGTATCAACCAATGGTAAATAAATTTAAAGTAAATTGCTGCATCGTATAACAGACTAAAACTCGGAAAATCACTTTTTTTTTTTTTAAAAAAAACTTTCCATTTTAGATATTCAAACATAATCAGTGATGCTGAATATTCCAGATTTTGACGCATGCATCCTGTCCAACAGACGCGACGGTATTGTCATTCATAAATATGACTCCAGTCACCCCAACTTGATGAGCGCCTATTTGTATCATCAAAATGGTCAAAGTTCATCACTTTGTTTGCAAACGATATTAAATACAGTTGATACCGTACCTTTTATTTGTATCTTTTTCATAGGTTTTTCTGTAGACCATATGTAAATGTTAGTATCCAAAGACCCACTGACAGCATGTTTACCATCAGAGCTCCATGCAATGGAATTGATACGCGCCGTGTGGAAGACCCATTGGGAGAGTTTTACCTAAATTCAAAGTTTTGTGTTGAGTAGACATTTTCACGCGAATCACCACAAGTATGGTTGGTATACATTAGTTCTTTCTTATACTCACAGAGCCTGTTACCGTATCATATACCATTATCTTGCCTTGAGCGTCGCCAGCAGCCAATAGAGAGCCATCTGGAGAATATGACAATGCCGTAATAGCTCCACGATTTGCATCGAGTTGCTTTGTTTCGGTGAGACGGTCATCCTTGAGACTATACAAGCGAATTTTACTATCCTTAAAGCATGAATATTAGAGATAAAATTGGTGAGCTGTTCATAGTCACGAGAGCAAAAGTATATCTCAATTACCTCGCCCCCAACAGCGACTTCAGTTTCGTCGGCTTTGATCGCAACAGCACCCGGTGGAGACTGAACAGATGTGTTAAAAACTTCTTTCTTATCCTTTATAAGAAGTAAACTCTCTACAGTACCAATTACGCTCACGCCACTGCTGCCAACGCCTAATCCCTTTGGCATGTGTTTCGTTGGAAGAACTAACGCGCTGCACATGTTCAGAAGAGTACGTGTATCAGCAAGAAAGCTCTCTTTGAACAAATATTCTGTACTTGTTTAAATGACATGATCTCTCACATACCTAAATGATTTGTTGTCAGGGTCAATTTCCCTTAAACTGTCATCCATACCAACGGAATAGATTGCGTTTTTATGATTAACGAGCTGAGTTACTTGATTGGAATGGCCTTGCCCGTCTAATTCTGTTGCATGACCTTCATCTAAATTCCAAGAGTGTAAGTAATTTGTCAAGGAAATGCGAGAGTATTACTCTGTCACTGCCACGATACAAAGCCCGTTTAAAGGATATAAATTCGTCCATCATAACTTCCGGTAAACAATGTCTTTTCGTCGGTTTTTGTAAGCGCCGTGATGGCTTTTTGGTGACCCTGATACAATCACAAAGACAACGTGTTATGTCCACGAGCGCAATGTATTTTCGATTGTAGGACAAGCGTATACAAACCTTGACTATTCTCACTGGCTTTGGCGAAGCCTCGTCCAGGTAATTGATATTTCCGGATAACGAAAGACTGATGAGATAACTGCCTCGCCAAACATTTCCAACTTGCTGGTCATCAACATTATTGGAAAATTCAAACGTGCTGTGGATATCAAACAAGGTTTTTAATTAACAGAACAGAGAGGGAGTATTACGTGAATCTAATGGAGACGAACAAGCATACCGCACAATTTTTTGAGCTTCCACGTCCCAAATTTTTGCAGTTTTATCTCCAGAAGATGTTAGAATCTTTTTGCTGTCTGGAGACCAAGAAACTGCATAGACACTACCGGTGTGAGTATCGCTGCCTGCGGCAGCTGACAGTTCCGATAGCTTATCACCTGTCTTTCCATCATAGAGGAAAACCTAAAACAGAAACAAACAAATTCAATCATTCTTACGACATGTAAATTATGACGGAAAAAATTTTGCATATGCCAATCAAGTTACCTTTTTGTCAGAACCGACGCTGACAAACTTCTCTCCATCAGGAGAGAAACTCACGCCTTGAACAAATCCGGTATGATCTTTTATCGCTTTGTTGTACTTGTACGGAACTCCGTGATAAAATACTACGCTAAAATCATCCGAAGCCGTGGCCGCACGAAACGGACGTTGCTGACGAATACTAACGCTGTTTATAACCTTATGATGACCAGCAATCTCTCCAACAGACGATCCAGAGTCAAAGAGAAAGGCATGGCCATATCTGTAGGATTTTTTATAAAGTGATCAACGCATTGGTTCAAGTAAATAGCACATCCATGTAATATAACATACTTTTCTCTTCCATCTCCGACAGCAATGATTCGCTTACTTTCCGAATCCCAGGCAATGTCAGTAATCTTTCCAGAAATAACTTTCACTTCAGTTTTGAGAATCTGTTCTTCTCCAACTGTATCCCAAATTCTAACCGTTCCATTAACATCTGAAAAAAAAATTAAATGTCAATTGCTTAATAAAAAGACAGCGGACAATCGATTCCATCACTACGGTCAAGTTCCTCTACTAACCGCCAGAGGCAATGTAGTATCCGCTAGGGGCATATTTCGCAACGGTCGCATTAGCCGAGTGTTGCGTATATTCTTTTGAATTTTCAGGATGCTAAATAGAATTCAACAATTTGATTTATCAATTGTATTTTTCTTTTTTCATGAATGCCTGTTCGCAGCAGAAACCAAAAACTTACCGCCAAGCTTCTAATAATTACAGTCTTTCCATTTGTATAGAGGAGGTTTTCTCCCTTAGAGTCTGTTCCCAGTTGAACTGGCTGGCCACGAGTAGTAGCTGGAGTAAAAGCCAAAATATTTTCTATAACAAGAAGATGGATTAATTCGCGGTTTATGTGGATCGCGCGTAATTATAATCAGATAATTGACCGTACTTCTTGTATACGACATTGAAAGATTTCTCACATTTAACACATTTCCAGGGTATATTTAACATTTACGTCATACATGACGCAGTTCCCGCCGAAATTTATAAATTTTGCTCTGAAAAACATTGACCACTTGAACTGACAATTGCCCAAAGCCTTTAACTTTCATGGCGACTTTAACGTTAACCAATCGAAAGCCCCAGCTTTTTACATGCCTCGCTTGTCAAATAGCCTTTTATTCCGCCGAGTTACAAAGAGATCATTATGCGACGGATTGGCATAGATATAATCTTAAACGCAAAGTTGCCGAACTGCCTCCTATCACATCAGAGGTTTTCGCTCAAAAGCTAATTGATCAGCAAGCCCAGAGCCAATCTGACGCAGAAAAAGCTAGTTTTAGGGCTGAATGCTATGTTTGCAGGTGAGTTTTGGATGATTTCGATTAAGAAGTTGCTAAAAGCAAATTGACATCGATTTTCATATTATCGTAAATATTATAGTAAAACTTACTATTCTGAAAACGCTTATGCAAATCACCTCCAATCCAACAAGCATAAATTAGCAGAGGCAAAAGGTTGTAATCATTTTCGCCACTGCATTCGAGTTTCTTGCGTTGATTTTCGTTAACAAGAGACTTGCATCTTTTTGTGTGTGTCTCAGGCATTAATCAAGTAAAGAAATATACTCTCAATAATAATCGGTCTGAAACGGCCTCGTCAAAGCCCGCACCGAGGGCTTCTGAAAATAAATCATCCGATGAAATAGCAGAAATATCTGCGGATGTAAGTTTCCTTGTTCAAATTTAGATGATTGTTGAATGCGAGAACTGAAGACTTGAGTTTCTCTTAACATAGATGGAAGAAATGTCCGTAATTGACAAAAAAATTGCCAATGCAGTTAAACTCGAAGAGGAGGATTGTCTTTTCTGTGCTGAGAAATCTGCTTCATTTGATGAGAATATGGAGCATATGACGAAAGTCCACAGTTTGTTTATTCCTGAAATCGAATACCTGACCGATTTACGTGGTTTAATAAAATACCTTGGAGAGAAGATTACGGTTGGCAATATTTGTCTGTATTGTAACGGACGAGGAAAGAGTTGGAAAAGTCTGGAAGCTGTAAGAAAACATATGGTATGCTTATGTATTTAATTCACCTGATTTATTTTCAATTACATTTTGCATGGAATAACGTTATGATTTATACCAATTATTAGCTGGATAAGGGACATTGTTCCATTGCTTATGATAGGGATGAAGATATAATGGAGATTTCAGATTATTACGATTTTACTTCAAGCTATTCTGATGACCAGTGGGAAGATGTCGAAGATGAGACTGATGAAGATGATGAAATATTAGATGAAGAAAATTCATTATCAAAAGGGTTAGTATAATTGACTGAGATGAATTGCTTGGCATAATTCTTCATTACTCACTATACAACTTTGTTATAGCTCGAAAGTCTACGTTGATAACTCTGAACTTGTCCTCCCATCAGGGGCTCGCATTGGTCATCGTTCTCTGCGGCTTTATTACAAACAAAACTTACGTCCTCGAGAGGTAAAAATCTGCTTTATTGGAAACTTTTTACGCTATAGTTCACACGCCTAACATGTTTGCCCTATTCAGGAACGCGATTCTGTGATAATAAACCGATTGCTTACGCATTACACCGACAACTTTGGTTATCAACATAATTCCGGCGGTATAATGATTGTTCGTGACGAAACCACCCGCATGTCGAGAGTTGAACGCTTTGCTGACCAGAAATCGAGAGCTGAATTCACAGCGCGCATAGGAATAAAGGGCAATAGGCTGCAGAAACACTATAGACCTCAAATTTTGTAGATTTATGCGAACTTGAAGTCTTTTGTTGAATATATTAATTATTGTTTCAAATGATTAAAGGATTGCACAGTTGTTAGATATATTGGAATATTTGGTGAATTGTCTGTTCACAATTAATCGCATTATAATGGAAATAAGGCTGGTCAAATTTAACTATTATTATAATTGGTTTATTAAATTGGGTTCAACGGGACTATCCATATCAAAACCTCTTACGTCTTGATGATGAAGGTGAAGAAACAAGTACCTATCGAAGAAGCTTGCAAAACCACTGAGGTTACGTTGCGTTGTCGAGCAACAAGATAAATACTCCGAACTAAATGCATTTGCAAAGAGAAACCTACATAGTTTCAATTAAACTGAATAGCTTATGAAGGCATCTGTGTGATACCGTGACATGCGTACTACAGTCCTGGAAAAAAATAATGACAGTGCAATTAAGCTAAACACTCGGTACTTGCAATAAATAACAAAGAAATTATGAATTTTATAAAATTTTTTCAACGTGTTTTTGACATTTAACTTTTATGCAAAAGCCAAGTTTCAGTTTGGTAAGACATACAGTAGTATCAGTATAACGAAATATGTTCTCAAATGAGCTAACATTCTATTGTAAACAATTTTATTAGTGGTAAAAAATATATTAACATATAGCCTACAGTCTTTTATCAAATTATAATTAGTTCACTTTAAACTTTAAATTCTTAAAAATTTATTCTAAACATCATTGAAGCGCATAGAAAATTGATAGATGTATGCATCAGCTTTTTAAGACATAACTGGGTGCTTTCGAACAGTCTTAAACCAAATTTTACAGCCGTTTACTCTGCAAGATTTACTGCAACAATATTTGCTGACCCACCATTATTTTCTTCCTGGACTGTATGCTCGGAGCCTGGATGATTAGGTTCAAATAGTGAATTTTAATTCTTATTACCGTTATCGTGATCAAAATTTTAAACCCGGATTTGTTGAAGCATTTTCATGGCACTACGTGACGTAACCTTCTATTATTACCTTGTAACTCGCCCGAAATACAGTAAGTAACGGATTCCTTCAATTTTTTTATATGCTGTAGCTTAGGTTCTCGTAGACATATCGAACAAATTACGCGTCGCGTCTGTTAGTTTACAAAATAAAAACTCAAGTCGACCGATATATAAACACGCGTAAGTTGTTTAGCGTACTTAATTTGCAATGGTGTAAAGCAACTTGTGTGAAATGATCAATTTGACCCAAATGATAAAAATTCCGGTAGGGTTATTGTACTATTTTTATTGCATGCAATAAAGCATCTTTCAAACAATACTATCGATTTCACGCAGTTAATTGTTCAAGGGTTACGTTGAACATCGGATATTTCATAACGCGATCATTGTTAAGTTGGACATGAACAACAAGTAAATATTCAAATATTTAATGGCTACTAGAAATGTAAAAATATCTAAATGGGTGTGCCTTTACCAATTGATACAAGAGATCAAACACTCTATACACGAGTTCGCAACCATAAACAATGACGAAACCTGGCGTATATTGATATTAATTAGTAACTAAAACTGGGTACTCAGTGATATATGCCAGATATACAGCATTAGTATATTATGGAATCGAGCAATGACGGCGCACATGAAAGCCAAGAAATATGTTGTTTCAGCACGGACACATGAATATAGTAGAAGATAATTTGGTACAAATTCAAACATTTGTCAACGAGGTTATAGTTATAACAGAGGACAAGTCCTCGAACATAGTGAGACGATTCCGAAAATACAACGCTTTTTGAAGTAATTTAAAGAAGTATACGATGCAATCTCTACATATTAATACCACGATTGACGTCCACAACAACATAATATTAGTGTCATATTTATTGTTGTTGAAATTTATCAAATGATAAACCACGGAGGCCATTTACTTTTCATTTGAAAGTAAAACGTTACCCGATCTATCGACGACTTTTAGAAAATATTCCGAGGACAAGATTCCAGCTTTGCCAGGCGTGAGAATGACATTATTCTCAGATCTGTAGATTTCTATGCCATCTGTTTAAACATTGATTCATGAGAGTATGCCATAACAAGACAAATTATGAGAATAATAACAATTGCCAAACCTGCAATAGCCTTTTGTACGTTCATGTAAATAAATAGATCGCAGTCGGCTCGCATCCCTATTTTGAAATTGTACCAAAACCAAGTTATTGTTCGTCAACTGGAGACATAGAGAACTTTATGAGTTTGATGTATTACCACTTATAACTCCGGATTCTCCATATAAACCCACGGCAAAGTGAATGTGATTGCGGCGCATCTTTGAAAGTCCCTGCGATGCTATTATGGAACAAGTTTAATAATGATAGCCATTTTCTTTATGTCAGGGCAAACAATTGCTACCACCTATGTTTTGCCAGTTCTTCAAATAAGTGCCATGGACGACAATAGGAATTTGTGCAGGATCCGTAATTGCTTCAAGCTTCAAATCCTCGACCTTGAGTATTCAATGTTCGTTAGAACTGACTTTACTTTCAATACAGCTGATCTAGAGGAAAGCGTTCGCATACGTTCATCGTGTGTCCCTGATTTGCTCTTATCCACCATGTAGCAACTCCTGTTGTCTCGTCGACCTCATTAATAAGCGAAAACCTCTGCTTGTCATTAGTCTTCACAATCGTCTCAATTTCTTCAAACGAAGCCGTTTTAAAACGGGGTAAACTCAACTGTGTTTTTTAACCAACTTAGTGGTGATCTTGTGGCAACAATTAACGATACTTTGATAACCTACCAATTCATTCAAGCGTACATAGCCATCAGTGCGCATAGATATTCCTTCTTTCGCAGCACCATGCCTTAGAACATACGACAATGCTTTAGAGAGACGAACTGTTGAGTCATCGTTGTTCGAACGACTTCTTCTCTGACGCTGCGTTGGCGGTAACGTAGACATGAATATTGGTTGCACAATCTGGTGTAGAGCGGTTCTGGCCAAATAAACCGTGCTAAGCCCTGAGATCTCACTAATCATCTTATGGAATTGCATGCTGCTGTTGAATTAGATTGTTAGACAAGATAAAGGCTTTTCATCAACAAACAAAGGTAATCCAAACCGAGATACGATGCGATAATCGATTTTTATTGCTGGATGCACCAGTAAAGAACTATGGTATTTTTTCAAAAGTCAAGAATAAGCTCTATTAAAAAATCAAAATTTCTATTCTAAGATCAGATTTTTTGGTAATATACATGGGGGAACGTAAAATTATGAATTTGAATTTACATACATTAACTTGAATGTCTACCTATATATAAAAGAAGAAAAATAACAGTGTCAGATAATCACACCAATTATATGCACACCTAGATTAATACTAACACCCTATTCGCGTTCAGCAAGACAAGAATAACTGAGAATCTTATTCCGATCTAGAGCATTATTGGAATACATATAGACGTTAACATACGCTCTTGGTGTGTCCGTGAAGAATTTATCAATTCGCACTTCAAGTTGTGGAAATAAAGTCTGCAGATACTTTTCGATCTCCATGCCAAACATATATAATATGTGATAACCAATTGTACCAAACGGCCCGACTATTTTGATGACTCTCTCGATCCGTGGATTCACAGTAGGCTCTGATCGATCCCAGTTAAACGTTATTCCGACTTTTGTCTTGAAATTAGTTATTGTTTCAAAAAGAGCTTCTTTCAACGCATTCATAAAGTCATCAACTCGTGTGGCGGCAGCTCTTTCAAAAGATGGCTCATCCTCATCAAGAAGCAATCCTATACCTGCCGTCGGTATCTGAAAATAATCAAGCTCACGCTTTAGCTCTGTGCCACTGATATCTTGAAACCAGGGGTCAGAAAATTTAGTACGTCTGGGCCAAGCAATTTCACCAGTACGATAATATTGCATGATATACCGGAATGTATGACCATCTCGGTCAAAAAAGTATTCGTTGTCGTTTGTGGGTCGTAATAAGTTATTGTTGCGATCCTGGAACATTGTACCGAGAAGGGTATCTGGATATGCTATCAGTGTCGACCTGTATGTTTCGTACTGCATAGAAGTCATTAAGAACAGAGAGATATGAGTGTCAAGAGGGTACATGGCATGGGCTTCCTTGAACTCTAAGCTGTTTATCAAAAGGCAAAAAAAGTAATGCATGCCTTTATACCGCCAACATTCAATACTACTCTTTCGTCTCTCGAGTGACTACATTCCTCCATACGTTTCTTCTGCGTGATGGCATGAGCAGTCAAACGCTTCTCTCCAACAAAGCTTGTATTATCTTGCATAATAAGTAGAAGTCGCGCCTCGTGATCAAGGTTTTTCTTTATGTTCGGATTTGGACGACAAGCGTTTGTAAATTTGACCCGAATTTAAATTTATTTGGGGTCAAGCTTATGGTCCGATCGGCTCGCATAATTTACATTTTTGGCAATCAAATTATTAGTAAGAATGGGAATCGAGTAAGTAATCATGGTCATTGAGCAAATATGTAACGGTGGAATTACCGCCGAATCTCCGGTCCATCATCCAATTTCATAGGTATTTCCTCTCTTGATGCGATCGGACTTTCTTTAACAAAGTAATGATTCGCATCTGGTAATGTTCAATGACGTGGTATCGCCTACATAATGAACCTACATTACTCAATTACCTGCCAAACCGCGTTTTCACGTAACCGAAATAAGCGTTATGACATAAATGCTTAAAAATAATAAAATCCTTGCCCCGATAATAATGCGGTTAAACATTCAACAGAGATTTTCTAATAGTCTGAGCACTTGCAAAGCTTAAAAATATGCTAAATCGTTATCAGCATTTGTTATCGCAATCATTTTCAGAATTACATGAGTTAACTGTCGGCCATCACACCCTATGATATTAAACGAGAACTTGGAACTTGAGGAGAAACCTGGCCACCCCCAAAAATACATTATATGACATAATATAAAAACATTGTGAAAAACCATCAATATTAACAGATAAAAGCACGGTTTACCCATGTACGATCAACAAAATCCCGCGTCTCGAAAGGATTGTCCTATCTAATCACGCAAGATAAACACGAGGCAACTTTTGTTGTATTATTATCGAAAAAATGGGTTTATTATAAATTTTAAAATTATTATTGTACAAGTAATCTCGATCGTTTACTGGTGATATGCAATGAAAATTTGCATCAAAAAAACCATAATTACAGTTTAAATGTTCATCACTATTATTATTATGGAGTACAGTGAATGCACTTCGTCGGCGCCTGCACTTATGGAGAGCGTGCATTTAGAGAACACCAAACATTTTATTTTACGCCCGTCATTAACAAACGTTTTATATCAAACTGAGTGAAAAGACGTATTATTCAAATTATTCTATAAAAAAAAGTTCGTTCAAAATTATTATATATTATTTATTGTAGAAAGCTCGTAATATTGGTTTGCTCCGGCACGAGTGAAGCCTCCGCAGTCCGGGGTGTTGTGCGGGTGAGTATGCCCCCGCGGGTTTCCAAATTCGTCTAACTTTTTCGGAGAACCAACATGAGTTGACAAAGTCCATTCTCTCCTGGCCGAAACTTTAGATCACACTTTGCCTTTAACCGACCCCAGTAAGCACGTCCGAGAAACATCTTTAATTGTACTAATCCACGATCCTGTCAATATCTTGCTGTACAAGGTATAGTGCAAACGGTTTTAAGCAGTTAAATGCATCCTTATGGGGTAACCCTTCGCCTTTCTACACTATCGTCCTCTTCTACATTTTCGCACTACATACACCTTCCGTGTTTCAGCTTCACACGTGATTTCCGGATAATTGGGATAATAATAAACCAATATCATGTTCATTGAAATTCTTTTGTAGATCCATGATCACATGATATTGCATTTAAACAAACACTCGTGACTGAGACAATTGCAGAATCTAGAACTGCACTTTATCTCTTAAGTCCCGACATGGGACTGGTCGAGTTTACTGTATGTGGTATTTGACTTTGTTGCAGCACGCCCAAATTTAAAATTGATCAGCTGTCTAGATGTTCATGCAGATCAAATTTTTATGCCATATATAGGAGCTCGGTCGCACCTGCTGGTTTGCTTCTTCTTCAAATCACGTCTAATGGCAGCTCTCGTGAGAAACTTGCGAGTTAGAAACAGTCTCGCTCCCTTAATGCGAAGTGTGTCGGGCGATGGCCTGCCCTCGAACATGGTTTGGGAAACGCGCCTAATGTATTATATAAAGCTGAAATAATTGCTTTAACCAGGTATATTATTTAGACACGCTCTACCTACGTGCTACATAAGCTTGGCTATGCTACAACAGCAGTCGGAAATTCTGAAGATAAGCAAGAGATCGAAATATATCCACAAAAGCAAGCGCAGGCGCAATCGCTAGTTCCGCCTGGTTTTAATACGCCTGCTTTACCGGCTGAAGAGGAGGGAAGCGATAGTAAAGACTGGTCAAAGTCTTTTTTCGGGTTATCTGCTGAAGCCTTTTCCAAGGAGGCGAGAGATATATTGTTGGCGCCAATAAATCATAATGACATTGAATGTAAACCTGGTAAATTGAATATGTGACCATATCGTCAGTTAGTTTGACATTCACACTAAACCGAGGTTTCTTGATCAATTAGATGGAATGATTTACTTGCCCGAGATCAAATATCGTCGCGTGCTTAATAGGGCCTTTGGTCCTGGGGGTATGTATTGTCATTAATAATCTTTTCCTATAAGATCCTAGAGTTACGTAAATGTATTGCATGCAGGGTGGGGCCTCGCGCCGCGTGGAGAAACTTCTGTCGGTCCAAGAATAATTTCACGTGAATATGCACTGGTTTGTTTGGGACGGTATGTCAAGCATTTTTCGGGTTATGCGCATTATTTGATCAAATTATAACTGCCTTTTTAAATAAGGTTGGTGTCGTTGGCTCGCGGAGAATCGGAATATTTTGATCCCTCGGGACTTGCCACGGCAGCCGAGTCCACAAAAAGTAATGCTTTGATGAGATGTTGCAAAGATTTGGGCGTTGCATCGGAATTGTGGTAGAGTATTTCCCTAATATGTGATGGTCTTATAGGGATATTTAACGTTCATAATAAAATGCCTTCTCATTACGATTACTGTTTAGGGATCCTCGATTTATCCGTGAATTCAAAAAGACTTACTGCGAGGAAGTATTCGTAGAATACATTCCCCATAAGAAGAAGAAGAGGATTTGGAAGAGAAAAGATACTCCTATCGAATATCCGTATGCCAGAATTTGAGATGATTTTTCGAGTTGTTGGGAGAATTGATGTAATTCAGCGTAGTTTCAGTGCAGCAAAACCGTCTATCAATAAAGTCTTTACATTTTATGCTTTAACAGTCGTGGATAGATAGTTTAAGAAGTTTAAGCTTTTAATGTTTTATGAATTAATATATCACTTAAAATAGCTATTAAATTAATATTTCTGTGTAGGAATCGTCTATATTGATATCATTTAAACATAGGACACGTCTGTACGTTCTTCCAACTCAAAGTTGTCCACCCAAACCTACTACTTACAATCCTCTAACAAAATCATCAAGACCGAGATTTGTACAAGATGAACTAATAATTCTTTTAAACGTTACATTTCACGCAACTGGATTAAAATGGAATGCCTAGTGAAATGATGACGTGAATATTAGTATCCCATTGGAACTAATAATTAACCCTCAATACACAATGAATTTACCATTTGTTGCTTTCTGGAAGTAGTCATAGAACACAGTTCGTCTATTCTCGAACGATTGGAATATCCTCTCCATCATAAATTCTGCGGCAGCGCGCTCTGTCCTGTCCAACTGGAATCTTTGTTGCAATCTCTTGAGAGTCATCTCGCCCTTGAAACAAGGAAGGCCCGAACCAAGCATTAACGCAACACACTGCGTTATCTGTTCAGCGTATGGCCTAATGAAAAATGTTCAGTGAAAATCGTAACTTTTTACGGGTTACAACCCATCCATCAATCACATACCTTAACGCCAGGTATGCTTTGATACACAGCTCTGAGAACCATTGGAATGGTTGAACTCCTGCACTACCTCCCATCACTTGAATCATTTCTGTTGTAAGTTTGAATGGCGAGCTCTCAAATTTGATGCCACCGGGCGAAATATCAAGAATAAATCCAAAATCTATACAAGTAAATAGGTGTGAACGGTCGTTAGCGCTAATGTAGCAGTATGTTTGCATGATTGCAGGGTTAATCAACATACCAATGTGAATTATGTGACCATAATCATCTAACATTATATTGCCATTGTGTCTATCCGATATCTGCAAAATATACGAGACAACCGAGTACGCGGCTGCACTCTGAATAAAACAGTTCCTGGCCTTACAAACGATATTAATTAGTATTCATATTTTAACGATATCGATATTCTACGATATGTAAAGGTACCTTTTGAAATTCCAATGAATCCAATCCACCATATCTTGTAAGAAAATATCTAAATCAAAGTGCAAAGATCAAGGTCAGAACATCTTCCTCGACTAAAATACTGGCAACAATAGTAAGGGCACCTACGAATACAAATCGTTGACCTTCTGCGTCCCTACTTGGGCTCTCGACAATGCTTTTGGTATAACATCAATGACTCCACACTTAAAGTAGAAAAAGCTCAATCACTAAGTGAAACCAAACTCGACGTATACATCATAATTAACTTACTCCAGGTGCCGTTGCAACAACTTTATATGGATAAAGATATAAATCTAATCCAATGCTAGTAAATATATTTTTAAATATAGCAATCAGCTGAAGAGCCAACACGTCTTGACGGCAGTCATCTCCAACTTTGAATATAGCAGACTGCCACACATCAACAGTTTTGAGTTCGTTTTCATCCGAATTATTAAACTCGTCTGTGACCTCTTCTGTGACCCCTTCAGATTCACGCAGAGTTTTTCTTATCTTGAAGGTTGCCAGAAACGGTGCCTGAAATTTTCGAATCACACTCATGAGCTTTTTTTCATAGAAAAGACAAAACAAGTGCACCCAATAAGTTACCGCCCGTTATATCTCACCTTTGCATGACTTTGCAAAGGCTTTCCTGATTTGTAGTCAATATCAACAACGATCCCCTCCGGATTACTGGGAAGGTAAACACCAACATCTACAACAATCTTTTTCATTTCTTCGTCTATCTTTGCCTTTTTCTCCTCAGGTTTCTTGCCTATATATGGCTTCAACTTTCCAGAAATCGAAGTAACACCTTCAAAAAATTTGAATTCTCTTTCGTAAAAGTCTTTGTCTTCTCCGGACAAGGTTTCCACAATATTTGCAATAATACGATCCAGCGTGGGTTTAAGCGAGTCGGGCTGACGGGGAAAAAAAATTAAGTAGTGATTTTAACACCTTTCGTATATAGCAGAAATCCTCTTACAAATACATACTGTTGTGCATTCTTCATCTTTAAACATATTGGCCTTCATATTCCAAATTATTTGATGTGCAAACAGTTGAGAAATCTTGCCTGCTTCCATTATAAATCTTTCGACATATCCTACACGGAGGTTTTGCATTAGTATCCTTTACTAAATTACGTTATTGCCTTCTATAAACGTTCTGCACGCTTACCATATGTATCACTTCTTAATGCTTGAACTATCTGCGGTATATAAAAAAAGACCACATCTACCGGGTGATATTCGAGCGAGCGCATTGCGTATTGCAATATCAATGGATGATTGTTGTAATTTGGTGAAAAGTATGTAATTGCTGTAACCGGAGGCACTGGTTTCCAATATAACAAATACTAGAACAAAATCGTCAAATACTATCTCGTCATTATTGTTGCTATAGATCGATATTAACGATGTCTTACTTTAAGCTGCGACGATACATTTTCATCTAGCTTCTTGCCAAGCAAGAGTGGAAGCGCCTCAGCGACGGCAACAGCTTCATGGGATTGAGAGCGCAAAAGTTCCAACACTGCATTTTGCACGACTGACATTTTAAACCTTGCAGAAAGTTGAATTGGGAGGCTAGGTGATATGAACCATGCATATCGAATTGTTCGTTTCCAATTTTCCTGTAATGTTTACCGACACTTGGTTAATAATTTGAACAAACAAAAAATATTCTCAATTTTTCGATTACCTCTGTCATGTTTTGTCCCATTGAAGGAAGAACCGTTTCCTTTAGTTGAGATTGGACATTGACGGGATTCGCCCAAACGCCCACTCTGGATATCTCACTCTCAAGGAACAGAAGCAGCAAGTTCTTTGCATCGACTGACTGTTTTAGAATGTCACTGCGAGATTTATCTACAGCGTTTAAATGCAATAGTTAATTCTATGAATAAACTATTCTGTCTTGCAATGATAATTATCAACTCTATTTAATTACCGCCAATGAACAACGTGCCATCGTTTAAAGCGATCTTAATGGACTTCTTAGAGGCACTCGACAAAATATTATCTAGGCAAGCTTTATCAGTCTCAACGAGTCTGTAAAGCTCAAGCATAAGCTTGTATTCTATGATTGCTGCACGTTTGTTGGCACCATAACCCCATCTAAAGGAAAACAATCAACGTTAGTAATAGTGTCGCACGTTTCATAAAATTACACAATATGTTTCCAACCTTGGTGGAAAGGCAAACCAAGAAAACGCTGCTTTATATAACCTTTCCCTCATTTGGTATTCAATTAATGCTTCCATCCTAGTTGATTGCAAAACCTTAAATCCGAGTACTAAAATTTCAAATCGACATTCCCGTGATAGAGGATGGTTGCTATAAACAATTATCGGCAGTTAGTTTCTCACCAAAAATATGATTGTCTCTAATTTCAGGCATTTACCTCATGGAATCGTATTCGCCAAGAGTAATCTCAAGAAGTCTTAAATAAATATCTGTTAATTCAGGACTTCGATATCGAATTGACTGAAATCGAATATTAAGAAACTGGATCCAGATGAGATGAGGCCTGAGTAAGAAATTTGCCTTTTGACAAATTTTATTCCTGGTATCCTTGTCAGATGGAGCATATTTCATCTTGTTCACAAACGGGTCCCTAAACCTGCAATAATTACACAAATTAGCTGACTAAAACGAATCCCTCTGAACAATATTGAAAAGAGTACTTACTCTAACATGGATGAAAAAAGCCCTTTGCGCTGCCTCACACTCCACACCCATGCAACAACAATCTCCAACATGATTCTTTTTTCTACTTCCGGTTTCTCGTTAATTATCCAATTCCATATCGAAATACCAATTTTCAAAGACGCTGGAGTGAACATACAAACAGGAATCCATACAAGATGGCTTATTATGTTTTCGTTAACCTGAGTGTTTACAAGAGATTGGTTAGCAAATAAAATAATAAATCATTCACCAGTCACGAATTACCTGTGGTGATGCAATTAAAACTTCGGCTGCAAAATGCAACTTATTGCTGAGCTCCTTTAAAGAGATGTGCACATGCTTACGAGCATTTGCTTCCAATTTCACAAGTATCTCTCGTACTTTGCTAAGTTGTCTATCAACTACTTGGTCGGGAATTCCGTTTATAATATTTTCACTTCGCAAATCTATAGTAGGAAGAAAATTTATAATTGAACTCGTAACAGTAAAAAACACAAGATAAGCAACATACCCTCATCATCGATAAAGTTAAGCCAATGGTAGACCTCAGCTACTTGGCCTCGATAACGTCTCCTCATAGAATAATCAGTGATGAAGTCGGATGCATCATCTATTACGGTTTCCGGTATTTGTGGAAATACACCTGTATAGTAAATCAACATTAGGCACAAGGTTCATATCACGTTGATGCATTACTGTTTTATCATTATTATAACATATACTTGTTTTGTAATCCGGATTGGAAAAGGATTTCCCAATCTCCAAGGCAATAGAACGACCCATATGAACTGTGCTTTCAAAATCGGTTTCGGATAAATAGCCCTACGTTGGTTTCATTCTAGTAAGCTTTTTGAAAACGCACCCTAGCCCAAATGCTCATATAAATGCAAGCTTATAAGCGAACCTCCAAAATTCCTTTGAGATCCGAACTATTGCATGTATTTGCTGCTTTCAACCATTTTCTTGCATTCTCACACAACCGAGACAAGACTTCTCGTCGATATGCATATGAATCTGTAAATTCTATGATAACTCCAAATTTGGGTATGCTAAATGTATATGTTGGGGAATACTAAGAGGATATCATTAGTATATTGAGAAAGTCAAATATAAGAATATCAAATATTTACCTCATTAATGTTTTCCGCATCACAACTTTTCCACATTAACTCGATCAATTCCAATAGCAAATAAACTAGTTTCTTGTTACACAACAGTGATTGAAAAGACGTAAACAGCAAATCGAGGTATTTGATAGCCAATGTGTGTACTTTTTCAAAGCGGTGACATGAAGCAATCATCAAATTGCACACTTGTTCTAGAAGATCGTCGTCAACAGTATGAGCTAGAACCCTGTTATTACACTCGTTGATGAAAACTTGCATAACCTGAATATTGACAATAATAAGGCATTCAGCAGAGTCAATTAACCGGTGAAATTAACCAACACTACATCACGGGTAATAACTACCACCAATATCTGTAGCTTTACCTGATCAGCAATCTCCTCCATGCAACGAACAAGCTTGCTGGTGTTTACACCTTGATTAACGAAATACCTCGTAAGAAATGAAAACTGTCCTTTCTGAGCACGCATTGTTTCGATATGGTAGACAGAAAGCAAAAATGTAATCTGCGCAAACGAATAATTCCGAAGCTCATATGCATGTTCAGGGAGAAATCCGGACAACAAGGCGCGTAAATGTACCAAGTCCTAAAAAACGATCAAATGTCGAGTTTGGGATTAAACCGGCATTTTTCAAGTTACAACTTTCTACCGATCGTCTACCTGCTCAGAGTAGCCCCTTACTAATACGGAATTGTATTCTAAATCATATTCCAAATAATTCGTTGCACTCTCCTGCACCAATGGGGGAGTCTTTTGGGCAATGATAACCAATGAATCACACCATTCTCGCATCCATGTAGCTTCGGATACAAAGCCATAGAGAACGCAATGGAACCAAACATTTCGAAACAGACTAACAAGATCCTCTGACGGATTCAAATGCGCTATAAAGTCGCGATGTGACAAAAGTGTTGAGAGTATGGGGAGTAGTATGCCCAATTCCGCTGCAAGCGATGTCACTTGGACCCTTCCATGTTCTGCCACAGTTTTTTGGATAACTACACCTTTTTCGACAAATAATTCCAATATCTTCGTTAAATAAAAATCATAAAATTCTGGACGTGCACTAATTCTATTGGCCAGCTCGTGTTGACATTTCAAGACCTGTTTGAAAAAGTCAAGAATAATACGCCTGAGTTAGATAATTCGTTCAGGTAGCAAGATAATTCAGCCGAACGTACTCACAGCGGTAGTAATAATTTTGTTTTTTGGTGAGAGTGATTGCATGCTAATTGTTGAAAAATGTTGTAATATGTCTTCGAACACTTTCCTCGGTGCTATTAATGCAATATTCACCAGATTTTCAAGAATAATGACGTCAAGTGCAGGGGCATGGTTGCGAACCCGTTGTCGTAAAATTGGCTCAGCAAGAGATGTGATCTAAAAACATAATGAATTGTAAAATCTGTGTTGCGCAAAACGTCGAAATTGAATTACACATACGATGTTTACCTTATCGATTTGCAATACACAAGTAATACCAGCAATAGTATAAACAAGGTTTTCGCAGACTTGAAGCTTTTGCTCTTCCGTGCCTGATGTCACCGAAATATGATCAACAGAAACGTTCCTCGAAGGTGAGCGATCATAGCCCCTGGCCACAAGCATATTTTGTAATTCATATATCATAGATACAATTTGATTTTCATCATTTGTGGCCTATATAAATAACGATAACTAAGCTTAATATTGACCATGATAATTTGCTAGTCAAATTTATGATTTTTGTTGAGTCTGAAAATGACAAGTGCTGATTCTCTCATCAAACTTACTTTCAGGCAATCCGCGAGTCTCCGGATCGCATATCTTTGAATCGTAAGATCGTCGGCAGCTGTTGTCGCCAACTCAAAAATTGTTGATGGGGTAGTGAGAAATTTCTTGATAAGCTGAATCATTGTTGAAGCATGTTTCAGCGGGAAACTAATTAATCAGAAACGGTGAGCACACATGATTTGATATAGATAAACAACTTAACAAACACCAAAAGTAATTACTTCAACGATATCAATGCAGCAGCATCTAAGGCAGCCGTCTGCACTTTCACGTCTGGTGTTTGTGGAGCAATAAATAAGGTGCGAGATATTTTTGCGTTTAAGTCATAATCAATTTCATGCAGACATACGCCAGCGACAGCTGCCAATTTCTAAAAGAGACGGAAACGTTAACCTCCCTATACAAACAGTCGATACAGCATATATAATAAACTTACTAAGCTTGCTGCCATTATTTCTATAGCATATTTCGCGGTTGGAAAATCCTTCCCTTGTGCCATTAACTTCTCCAACTCTGTATAATATTGTAGTGCCATAACATATGTTCCTCTAAGAACGTCTTTTGTTTTTTCATCTAGAGTCCAATTGAGATTCATTCCTGAGCTCACCAACGCACTCCATATTTGACCAGGCCCCATAACTGCAACTTCGTCGTTACTTGTTATGAGTAAAATTCTGGCCAACATATTTTGCATCAGCTGTAAGACATTAAGTACCAATCCATTGCTTGAAAGAGGTATAGGTGCATTAGAATAGCGAAATAATACTTTCTTGGCATAGTAATCGCTATCATCATTGGATTTCATGACTTTTTCTATTATTCCGCTGATATGCTGTATAAGTTCATTTGAGAGGAGTGGTAGTGATAAATTGTTCACAGCTTCAAAGTCAGCAAGTGTCCATTCGAATGACGAACTTTGTAGCGATCTTAATGTTCCATTTATAAGAGGAAGAACTGTAACCGTCAAGTTTGCAACATCTGTATGAGTTGAAAAAGTAATATAAGATAAAAAGTTACAACTTAGAAAGTAGCATGCTGGAACAATAACCTGTTTACCATCTTCGTTTTGCAAAAGATTAACAAGACGTTCAGTAAGATTCAAAATTGCTCCGACAATTTCTTCCCGCGTGTCGGGGAAATTCCGAGCCACATTTAACAGCTCTCCAATCAATCTTCCCGCAAGTTCGTCTGCTGGACACAGATCTATTTAAACAAAAAGAGTTTATGGGTAACTACTAGAAATATAGTTTGAATCAATGATCAAAAATTGGTCTACCTTTCCATTTCAGAATCTCTTCAAATTTGAATTGTGGAAGAATTTGAAGATATTTTAACAAGAGAGTCAGTATTCGATCAACATGCGACTTGTTGTTTGTGGATGCAGCAAATGACGATAGGGCAATTATGCCATCTTGATATGGTTGTAACTACATGATTAAACATTAAGAGATTTTGTGAGTACCATCGATCTATGATAGAAATGACGCAAAATACAATGAACGCCCATCTACCATAAGTCCAAGTGAAGATTCTGACAGAACAGGACATCTTGCAATCAAGTGATCTATTTCTTCGTCTGATGTATTTGGATGTGAACTCAACACTTTAGATAGCTTATCCAGAATCAAACCGTGCAAATCGAATTCGATGCTGTTAATCGAATAGAAAGTTAAATTTTTGTAACAAAAATGCTTAAATTGTAATGTAGACAGTATCTGCTGGATAATTATCTCATAAATACCTGTCCATGTTATATATTTCTATTGCCAACAAACTGTAAGCCCCGAATTAAATAAATGACCAAATGTTGGCACAATCATTTTATACCATTTCGGCAAAATTTAATGTGGCTCGTGAAACAAGCTAGCCACAAATGGTGTCATGCTATCTCACGTGTGCTACTATTGGGAGTTTGTATTAGTATTAGTATTAGCGAAATTTTCGGATCGGCAACCTGGTATTCGAAGACAAAGTCCTTTGTTTTTTTTATTCAAGAACAGATGATCATATGATCTAAGAAAATAACATCACTAACGGAGAGTATTATCAGTATTTAAGCCAATTCATTAAGCACTATGTCAAAGTCGACAATCTAAGCATAAACAGTCCATTTCGTGATATCATATAAGGTGCTCTGGGACGTGCAAAAGGTGCTGCAATAAGAGCGATCCCAAAGAACTCAATTTGAGGGTTGTTTCTCTGGATAAGATGGATCTTATTTACAGCATTGGAACAATCTAAAACCACCTGCAGGTTCCAGCAATTTGATAAGTAACACCACATATTATTGAAATAGAAAATAAAAACGAGAAACTAATCGCAAATTGGCCCTATTTCTCAAAATCCTTTAGCGATTCCAGGAACAAAACAACTCATTGTCTGACATGAGCGGAGGGCACCCAGAACATCTTCTTTATGGACGCCAAAATAATTAAGTCTTGACACTTCAATATCTTTCAACAGTCTTGCAGACTGTCAGAGATACGCGCCAAGACGACTGCAAGCCAAAACTTAAAGAAGTTTAAGGAATTAGGTACAAACGCGGTAGAATTACCTGAACCCAAATAATAAACGAAGTTGATGTCCACTAACTATACACATGGTATTAAAACTCGCCCAGAATAATAAATGACATACATGCACATAAGCTTGTGGCCAGAATAAAAATTACTCTTATAAATAGATCATCTCCAATTATTTCAGCATCATACTTGACACGTATTGCTTTATATATCAACTTGACCGAGTTGGCCACCAGGAAGATTCATCTTAATAACTTCTTTGAATATAGTTTTTTTGCACTGATTCTATTATGGTCGCTAGCTGCGCTTCCTTCTCCATTATTCTGAATATCACGTTAAGTACTGTACCTTACGAATTTTGTATGTTTGTCTAGACTGCATGGACTGTTGGCGGACCATTAGATATCACTAAAACAATTTGACCAAAACAAATACCTGCTCGAACGCGTTAAAAATTTGAGAATGATTTCTGTTGAATTGGTAAGAGTGGGTTCCTTGGGTGCTAGAAGGTTAGGATTTGTGGTGAAGCTATAAAAAATTTTGCCTAACGGCAATACTATGAGAAGACTTTCGATGCTATTGGCAGCACTTGTTACGCGCAAGCTGATTAATTAGATAAGCGCGCATATTAAATGATTAGTTAGTATTAGGTCACTTGTAATTTTAGATTCAGTTGTCAAAGCAATCACCGAAACAAGGCGGTGAGCTGAAGCCAAATTAGAATATTCCCTGTCAGCGAACATACATACGCGAGAGATTATCGCTCTCTCCACAACCCAGACTGCCCGACCGCAACACACTCATGTTTATGAAAGATGTGATTAATATTATTGTCCGACTATTTATGACGTATGAGTGTCATAAAGTTTATATTAATATTAATATATACATAGGCATCCAAACAATCGCCGCTCCGGCTGTAATTTTTTCGGTTGAGCTTGGTTTATTTATATGCCTTCTGTTATTTAGGACATCAACGTCTACTATGTCGAAATACTCAGTTCAAAGCACTAACGTGATTCCATCTGCCGCTTGGCCGTGTCCCCTCCGATCAGCGTTTTCATTCGCGACAATTCCGGATGCTCTGGAAGCCGATCTCCAAGAAATGGACCGCGAGGATGCGAATTGGAAAAAAACACAGACCAAATTCAAGCGTGCACGTGCGGTAAGGAATTATTCGTCTGCTGAGTCGCGTGAAAGCACTGCCGTATCGACAATGGGGAAATACTCGTTTCTTCCCTCATGGAAGGAGTGATGACTCCTGGCGGGATAGTTCAATCACTTGAAGGAATGGGTTGCACCCGTCCAGGAGAGTGCCTCGTCATATCTGCCCATAGCATGTCCCCTGTACAGCCTTTCTCAATATTATTATTACTTTGCTAGACCTGTTCTGTTGGCATTGGTGTTTTTTTTGGCCATACATTTATTGTTATTGCACAATCACTTGCACACTGGTTTAACCAGACTTATGACAACAATACATTAATTGATGTGGCACAGGCATTTTAATTTTGAGCTCTGAAGAACAGCCATAAACATACTAATACTAACACTAACCCTTAATGCATATAGGCTTTTGATAACACTATCAAAACTATCAAAAAAGCTGTTCCATCCGGTTGAACATGGTGTAATAAGAATGGTGTGTTTTTTTAGAACATTCATTTGCTCCTCAGGTAAAATATACTGAATGATGAAAGAAGGTGATGATACGAATTGCACGTGCACTTGTGGTTTTAATTCTGTTGATTCTTTGAATACAGTCAAACCTCTCTAAGTGCACGTCGTCGGGACCGACGATGCGCTTGCATTTATAGAGAGCGTGCATTTAGAGAACGTCAATCATTTTGTTTCATGTGACCTCTTCGCATATTAATATTAATCCTATGTCTGCAAAATAGTGAAAGCGTTTCTAAACAGTTAAGCGCCTCCTTGTGGGTAACACTTTGTCTTTCTACACTATTATCCTCGTCTACATTTTCTACATCTACATCCTCCACTCCTACATCTTCCACGTCTTCAACTTCATGTCTATGATCTCCTGATCTGTAAGTATCACTTCTGTAATAGATATATAATCATCGCGTTTCACAGATCAAGTGCTCCAATATCTGCATGCAGCTCCTCCCTCAACTGATTTTCATCGTCCATTACTATTATTGTTACAATCGACATTATCATCCTCATCTACGTCACGATTGTCACCATTAAGAATTTCCGTGTGTCGAAAGCAGTTTGATATAGTTCCCTGCACTACTTCGTCCCATGAACCGTATAGCTGACAATATCCATTTTCTTATCCCCAACACCAGATTCGTATCGATGAAGCGGCCATTTTACGAAATGGCTTCGGTAGTGACATTTAAAGGACATTATTATACCGGCGTCCATTGGTTGCATTCGAGAGGTTGTATTTGGGGGAATGAAAAAAATGGTAGTGTTTCAAATTGGTAATATTATTATTATGGCTTGGTGCATTGTCCAGTAGCAGTAGAGTCTGGCGACCAGCCATTTTTGCATCAAGCATTTTAATCCATCGTTGAAATATCCCCCTGTCATCCATGCTTTAGGGCTTGCTTCGTACGAAACGGAGCTAAACGTATAAGAGTGATGATCGCCTAGTGTTTTAACTTTTACTGTGCTTGGAATAAGAACTACCAAGATGCGTAGAGAATATTGCTGAGAAAGTGCTTATCAAAAATCCCATTTTGTGTAACCAGACCAAGTACCATCATTTTGATAGTCCAGTCCCCAAATCATAAATCGCTAAGAATAGAAAAAAAAATCATCTAGACATATTTTTCTTGGTTAAAATGGCCATTATTTGTTGTATGACGGAAGCTGTATGCAGGTTGATTTTTGGCCGGCTTAGCCAGACCTGTTCAGAAAATTGTTTAACTAGAGAAAGTTTCCTAATTAATGAAAATTTGGTATAGTCGCGAGGCGGCCGGTTAAACAGGTACAAGCTGTCGTCATTATGATGTCATCTTGCGTGCTTTATGATGAATTATATTATTCTATGAGAGAATGAAGTTACGTCTCATTGTTATTATGACAAAAATAATAACGACCTTTTTTTGTTGTGCGAAAGATTTTGTGGAAGAAGTGACAAGAGGCTGTCGACTATAAAAAATAAGCTCCTCAGAGGTGGGCGGTGGGTTTATAAGATTTGAACTGATTGGAGTCAAGGGAAAGAGTGGAAATGTATAATAATAAGGGGCAAAGAACTTGTTTACTTCTGCTATGATTGGCTTGCTTTTTGAAGAGTGAAATAAAGAAAACAATAAAATAATGCCAGTAGAAAGTCAAGGAAGTTGAATAACTTTGGGTGACATCAGTTATTATTACCAGCAAGTCAAAGAAAAGAAATCTAACGAATTAAGTTATTATAGCAACTAAATTAGTAAAAACCTGCTGCGCAAGGTACATAATTTTGCATAATTCTTTGTATTTAGAATAACAATTCATAGTCCACA